AATATGGATAAATTTGCCCTAAAATGAATATCGTTCGGTTAAAATAGCATTTAGGTATAAATATAATTGCACTTTTGTGATTACCCCTCGGTCTGTAACGTGCAAAATAAATTGTCAAACACGCAACTTTTTCAGGGTGGCAGCACGGTCTCGGGTGTCATGGCGCCGTTCAAATTTCGTAGCGTTGATGTGTAATTAATTATAACAATTAAATTAGGTAGTTGGTAACAAATACGTGTGGGTATAGACGATTTGTTATACGTAAGTACATGCAGTTGTATGTAGTAAAATTCTAGAGGCTACTGTCCCTTTAATAGTAATAAAGACACATGTAGTATACTCTATAATATCAAGTATATTGTAACAGCGGCCATGAAGCGCGAGGATAGATACAGCGCCGCAGCAAGTCATGAACGCGTATATGCACCGCGCGCGCGCCCGCGAGAGCGCGGCGGTCCGCCCGCGCAGCGGTGGGGTGTTGCTATTCCCCGGGCGTGGAGGGAGGTCACGTGATAACGTTGACGATGACGTTCAAAATGTTAACCCTAACGGTAACCCTCACTCCAACACCGCCAACACTAACCCTCACACTAAATCTATGTGTCTCGCCGCGCTATATATAGGCCTTGTGATCCACAAAAATTAATCTATGGTGTGGGGACAGATATCATGATGCAAAAACCTTAAGCCTACCCCTAATCCTAACCCTAACCCTAACCCTAACCCTAACCCTAACCCTAACCCTAACCCTAACCCTAACCCTAACCCTAACCCTAATCCTAACCCTAACCCTAACCCTAACCCTAACCCTAACCCTGACCCTAACTCTAATCCTAACACTATCCCAACACTAGTGCTGCCACGTTGCGGTTACCTCCCTCCACGCCCGGGGGATAGCATTACCCGCGGCGGTGAGATATACCGCGCGCGCGCGCCTGCGGTGCGGCGGTGATAGCGGTCCGCGCGCGCAGCGGTGGTAATGGGCGCGGCGGTGATATGCACCGCGCGCGCGCGCCTGAGGTGCGGCGGTGCGGCGGTGATACACGCCGCGCGGTGCAAGTGTGTAATATCGAGCACGAGTGATATTTAGTGTAGCAATTGTATACGTATACATTAGTTTAGGGAGTGATATTTGGCGGGGGGATATGTGAACGGTAGGACGAGCTGGCGGTTGTGAGAGAGTAAGGAGGAAAGAAAGGGACGTGTCAACGGAGAGGGGCGCAGTAGTCCAATCGAGAAGAATCACGTGTGGTATGACGCAGGTAAACAGAGAAGCGATTGGTGAGCTTCGAGAAAGAAATGCGATCTGGAAGACATTATTGTATTCCGGTCACGACGTCACGTGATGATGTAAAATATAAGCGACTGTGACTACAATACCGGTATTATTATAATATTAATGTTATTAATAACACACTCACTGTGTTCAAACTCACAGACACAACAGTGTCAACACCTTTGAATTCATGAAATGTAAAAACCGTTGCACCGTAGGAGTTTGGACGCCCCTCTTGTAGACATCTGCGCATCTTGCCCATCGAAAACGGGTCGGCATATGTTTCTATGAACCAAAGTATGCTCGTGACGTACACTGACGACATTTCTTGATGCCATTGGATGGTGGCGTCAGAGTGTCATAGTGGTACATTTTGGAACTAGTGAGCACTATGACCACGTGACAAGAAAAGGCTATGACGCCATGACCAAAATACAGACAGAAACATGCGCAAAACTCACTCCAAGAAATAGTTCTCACGGAAAGTGAACAAATATAGCAGTTTTTGCAGAACAAAAAATTTCTTATGCGTAGAAGATATTTTCCTTCATTATTTGTTTTGTAGTAATAACAATTTCTTTGTATGTGCGAATGTGCTTAAAACAGCGATGACGGTGATGATGACGATGGAAACCGGTTTACGGAAACCCCGGAGGAGAACAGTGACCTTTAACCCCAAGATGTCAGCCTCCAGTTGTTTGTATATATCATAGATATTGTAGTGTTGTATATATCTATGTATATATCTATGCGTAGACTAAGACTAGTAATACAGAGCACTTATATCATACTAATAACGTTTATCAACTACGAAAGTACTTCTCATTGATTCATGGCATAGCCTTAGGCTAGGCATTCTGTAAGTGTAAGTCTGACTGTCTGTGACACGTGTGTGAGTAATACTAATAGTAATACTAATAGTATATAATATTACTATTAGTATTACTAATACTATTAGTAATACTATTACTAATACTAATAGTAATATGCACGTCATGGCACTGGCGCTCAAGGGGTCGTTGTCGTAACAGGTACTACAGATATGTACCCGAGGTACATATATGTATACACAAAGTGTACCAGACTTGTACTACAGAAGTGTACCCTAACCCTAGCTCTAATAACTATAGCCCGCGTACAGTTGCCGCAGGCGCCTGCAGTTGCCGCAGGTGGCCTGCGGCAACTGTTCGCGGGCTATAGTTACTAGAGCTACCCTAACCCTAACCCTAACCCTAAACCGACCAGGCTCTCCGACTGTTACGCCACGTAGTGTTAAGCGAGATGGGAACTTGTGGCTAACCCTAACCCTAACCCTAGACATACCTCATATAAAAATATAAACATAATACTAAACAACCTAAAACTACCTCGGGTACATATCTGTAGTACCTGTTACGACAGCGACCCTTCGTGCGGCACTGGCAGCAAGAACAAGCCCGCAACGGCGCATGTACACGGTACAGCACACACGCGGCCATTGACTATATATATTAACATGGTGCCTAACTCGCCGCCGCACGGACCACAACTCACCGTTTTCAATCAGTTATAACTCCGGTGTTCCTGCAGGTGACGCCACTTTCCAACTATGGTTGGAATCGCGTAAGACTGCTGAACAAGCTACACCCACCATTTTTGACAATCGGCCCGCCAGAATGCGCTCAAATCACAGAAATTCCTCAAATATACACGCGAAATGATCTTTCGGATGCTACTAGGCAAGAAGGCGGCTGCGCCCAACCGCTGGTGGCTGCGCTGATTGGCTGCAGCAACTTCACGTGCACCGCCATTTCGCCCAGTAATTGACGAAACCGCATCCCGCTAGGCCATTACAGATCGACCAAGGTACAGCGAGAGAGAGGGTCCGTCTAACATGACTCGCCGCAATCGTCACACAATAACGTAGTTTGCGCGAGCCGTGTCTGCACGTAACTTGCTGCAGCCAATCAGCGCACATTTGTACAAAACATAGAGTACAGATACAGTAGCATTTTCCCCAGTACGCTTGAATGTATATATGTTATGTATCAAGAGCTAATAATACCTAGGTAGGTATTATTAGCTCTTGTATGTATGTATGTATGTATGGATATGTATCGTGAGTGTATGTGTATGTGATGTCATGGTATTCTTCGACGTATGCGTAACAATACAAGGGCTGAAAACAGGGGTCCAGGTCCGAGGTCCAGCACCCGCCGATTTCATGCGGGGACGCCGTGTCGTCATTTCCATTAGCAGAAATCCGTCGGACCTAAAGATCAATAATTTACAATACTAGACTTGTTTATGTTTGGTTTTGTATACAAAAATGGACCCACTGTTACCAAACGATCTATTAGCCAAACTAACGTTATATATTCTGACCTTTACATCAAATCTTCATGCATCAGACCTTCCAAAAATGTTGCTGAAAAGTCCCGGACCTGCGGGCAAAAACCACTATTTTCAGGCCCTGCGTTAGTGCTTTCACTTTGTCAGTCATTTCTGGGAAACCACCCGTGACCCAAGTAAAGTTAGTCGACCGTTTCCATAACCACCGATTAACGCACACACAGAGTCGCACGCACGCACACACACAATGCAAGCAGAGTTAGACAACGTAGAAAGCAAAATACTTTCAGTACTCATTGGTAGAAATAAGTGCCGCAGAGCGACAGCGCTCAACTGACGTGTACTGTAGCCAGGTATTATTCTGATAAACTCACTGGCAACCGAATCAAGTGCGCCCTCCTGCCACCGCGTTCACGCTCAGAGCATATAGAAGGTTCAGCGATTTGCACTAAAAATAGCAATATTACCTACAATCCTGTGCCGTCGGCCATCTCGGTTCCAAAAAAAGCGAACATGTGTTGCGTGTAATCTGCCAATCTGCACAATCAACCGATTTTACATTGGCTATAGTGTTATTATTGCAATAGATATTAGCAGTAAGTGGATCCCGATTTTGCAGACAGGTTTATCAGCTGGGGTTGTGTTAATTGCTAGTTCGATGAGATTGAGCAGGCCCGGTTTTGCAAGCAGGTTTACCATCGTGGGTTTTAGGTGCGAGTTCAATGATGCTGATGTCACACAGTCGGCAGATTCGTAGATTGAGCAGATCGGAAGATTGCACGCAACACATATGTTCATAGACTTGCGTTTGTTTACATCGTGAGAGTTCAGCAATTTCACCGATGTTACTGCATTTACTCTAGCTATCAAATGCAGCTTTTTATAATAGCTAGTGTATGCACGTTTGTCGACTGTCTGTAGTGTACGTAGTATGGATAAGTACTTTGATTCACTAGACAACGTAGCCAAAGCACGCTATCTCGAGAAAATTGCGTGCATTGGGAATCGAGACCCGTACCAAATAGACAATGCTGAATGGAGCGAGGGCCACAATGTGTTCCCATCACACACCTATTTGGATCTCGTGAACTACCTAACATTCCAGCCGAGTCCATTTTATACTCTCAAGGACTTTCAGAGAGGCAAAAGAGAGTAGAGAAACATTGGTAGTAAATACATTTCGTGTTTATTCAGCATTGCTTTTTTATTGAAAATGCTCCAAACGTCTGTGGTCCGCCTGGTCTCTCGTCACTTTACCTTGTGTTGTGATCACGCTCAGGGGCGGATCCAGAGGGTTTGGGTGACCAGTTTCCATAGTTATAGTCACAGCTAGGGGGGTCAGGGAGTATGCTCCCCCGGAAATTTTTTAAAAATTAGGCTATATTTGGTGCATTCTGGTAAATTTTGTGGGTCAAATCTGAAGATACCCAGCCTGTGACTGGTTTTTGGAAACTGGTGCAAACCGGCCTAAATCCGCGCCTGACGCTAGGCAGCCTAAAAAAGCTGTGTGGCTCTCTCTGATACCGATTGCTGCAGTTGACAACACCGCAGGAGAGCGGCGTTGTGATGGATTTGCTTAATAGGCGAATAAAATGAGCAGAGGTGCGTTGCTCAATGTACTTGTATACCATGCCTGAACTGGTTTCTGGAACCCTAATGGCCGGCGGCGTTGCATTGTGGGCAATATGAAAATCGCGGTACCCTCTATATCTAGGATACTACTAATACAGATCTAAAATCTATGATAGGCTTTGCTATGTATACCTACTGGTAGTACAGTAATAAAGATACAGCTGTGTAACTTTAATGACTTCGCTATATTAACATGTTATCATAGATATGCGTCGAGCGCGAGCGTAGTGGTGGTGGTGGTGGGGGGCGGTGGAGGGGGCTCTAATAGCAAAAGCAGTTCAGTCCTTTGTTAACAGTCAACAAATCCATGTTTAACCCTCCTCTTGAGGGTCAGAAGGTTATAACACACTTACTCTTCGCACGTCAGCGGAAAGTAGATCTCATGGTCCTTTCAATAGTGATAAAAACGGTAGGTCAGCACTGAAACAAAAAAGTTTT